AGTTCCACCATGTTGGTCAAAACGTTTACCTCATCTCTCTGCATCCCCTGAATTCTGGGTGTCCCATTCATTTCCTGGGAGATGCAATTATTCTTTAAAGGGAAGAGATGCATGAATGGCTCCAGTCAAGTGACACTTTCTGACTTTTTTCCTCCAGAAATGGGGAGTGGAATCACTGTGGTGCTTGGGGTGCTGACTTTGGCTTCTCTTCCTTTACAACTAAATTACAATTTATAGATTGATGTAGAGGTATCAACCAGACAAGATCAGGGAACTTGGGATGCTGCTCARTGGAATTGCTTTCACTCCTCTAGGGGGAGGGCTGGGGCTCAGGTTCTGGCATGCTCCCTGAAACTGGAGCAGTGGGGTGGCACTAGCTGAGGTTGGGCATTCAGGACTGAAAGGACATACAGGAGTCTACTTGGCACTGGCCCAGAATTATTGCTTCTATTGTACCTTGTTTGTACTATTTCTTTTCTGGGAAATATTGAAACCTGTAAGGCAGCAAATCAATCATTATTCCTTTTCAATGACTGTTCTGAAGGCAGGTTAGGTTCCTGCTGAGACTTCTGTCTACCTTACCAAAGTTCTCCTTTCTCACAATGGTTGGGCTGAGCCCACTGATACAAGGCCACAGAATTGAGACCTTGGAGGTGGAAGGGTTTTGTGCCCTAAGGCTTCATTCTAGTTTCCATAGAAACAAGCCAGAGGTGGCACCCACTATAGGGGGTCTTAAAGACACATACACTTTGGAGAATTCCATCACATAACAAACACCACTCAACAATAGTTTTTATAGACATAATTTACTTGTTTGGAGGGTTTTGACAAAGGCTTTTCAATCCCCTTTTGATTATGTTTTTGCTTTTACACTTAATGGAAAAGGATGACCAATTTAAGTCAGTCAAGTTAAAGACTGAACAGATGAATTAAGATATTTTTTCACATCTATTACATTTTTATATATTAACATTTATTAAGTGACTCCTTAGGATTTGGGAGAAAAATCAGTCTCAACCAGGGAACTATAATTTTAAAAAGCACAGCTGTGACTTCAGCTCTGCAGAGGTCACTATAYTCTGACTTTGGGAAATTTCAGAAAATTCTCTGAGCTATAATTTCCTAGCTGGTAAACAAATAACAACCAACCATCTGCCAAGTTCAAAAATTCTCTAGATACCTGGGTACAGTGATGCACACCTATAATGCCAACAACTGGGGAGGCCAAGTCAGAAGGATCTCAAACCCAAGGCCAGTCTCAGCAACTTAGTAAGACCCTCAGCAACACAGTGAGACCCTGTCTCCAAATAAAAACCAAAAAAGGCTAGGGATGAACCTCAGTGGTAAAGCACTCCTGGGTTCAATTCCTGGCACCAAAAGAATAAAAGTAAAATAATTTAAAAAAAAAATCTCTGAATCTATTGTGTTATATTCTTGCAAGAAGAAATTCTATGGAAAAAAAACAGAATGTTATATTATCAATGATTATGTAGGATTGGTAATAAGAACTTTTATTTGCAGGAAGGTTGTCAGCAGTAACATCATGAAGGAAAAAGAAAAAGAAAAATGACTACCATTTATCAAATTTTTGCAACATGTCAAACAAATTCCAAGACCTTTTCACATATGCACACAATTATTTCCACTTACAGATGTAGAAACTGAGGCACAGAGAGGTTAAATAATCTGCCCAACGCCATCCAATTGTTAAGTGGCAGAGTCAAACGTTAAAGTCAAAGGAATTCTAGAACTTATACTCAATCACATCCCTGTATTACTTCTTGTTATTCATCAATTACGCAAATGTTAGATGGATGCGGATTATAGGAAGACATTGAATTAATTCCACCTGAAGATCCCAAGATGAATGAGACAATGTCCTTTTCCTCAAGAAGCTTAAAATATACACGGCAGATACTCAGAAGTATGTGTGGAATGAGTGACTTATTTCAACCTAGGCTATTTGACAACCATCTCCTCTGTTCTGAAATGTTAGTGATTCCATTCAAAACAAGGCAAGGGCAGCTATTTGTGGAAGGGATGCATGGATGGACCTGGGACTTGTGGGCCCACAAGGACAATGCTTACAAGGACCTGGAGAGCAGGCCTAAACTGGTGGTAGAAAGAATAGTGGGTGGGTCAGTTCTGCTTGCTCTGCCATATTCAGTACAGAACTCGAAAGACGAAATTTTAACAGAGAATTTGAATTGGAACCTGGCCATACAGGTCATTCTGAAGAAAACCTGTCAAGGTAAAAAGAATGTGTTTTACTTAAGTTTGCTAATTTGCTTTATAACTTCTGAAATGTAGATGGGTGGTATATGGCTTTCCATGAATCCTCTTCTCTGGGGAAAAAACCACAAAACCTAGTGTATGATAAAGCTTCACTTTTAAATTAGGTACATAGATTAATAAAAATAATAAAACAATTATAATATATTGATAATAAGACAGTCCATCTGATAACCAAGATGTGTGCTAAGTGACAAATGGCCAGGTTCTTGTTACTGTAACAGATAACTAAGATAATTTATAAGGAAAAAACTTTTATGGTGGCTCAGTTTTGGAGGTTTTAGTCCGTGATTCATTGATCCTGTGGCAAGGTGGCACATCATGGTAGGAGTATTTGGTAGAGCAAGCCATTCATCTTATGGCAGGGAAGTAAAATAAGAAGAGACTGGTGTCCCAGTACCTTCTTCAAGGGCATGCCTCCAATGACCAGAAGATCTCCCACTATATTCCATCTCTTAAGGTTTCTGCTGCTTCCTAATAGTGTCAATATGGTCCTAAGCCTTTAACACATGGGGCTTTGGGGATCATTTTGAACCAAAGTATAGCAGGCAGGTAGTATATTCAGCATGAATACACTGGATAAAGGGGTGATTCAGGTCCCAGGTAGGACAGAGTGGGATGGCACGAAATTTCATCATGCTACTCAGAATGGTGCACAGTTTGAATTTTATGAGTTGTTTCTGGAATTTTCTATATAAAAATTTTGGAATTCAGTAGACTGTGGGTAAATGAACAGAGAAAGCAAAACCAATATTCCTGTCCATCTACCATTTCCAGATCTCTCCAAGTCAGTGTGTTTACCTCTGATATTTCCTTCCTCGGTATTGGCAATCCTACTAACTCAAAAGCTTGAATCCTCCAACATCATTTTTTCTTTCTAGGAGCCTCCAGAATACCCTCTGGGCTCTGTGTGCACCCATTTTCCATTTGCCTCCGGAGTGATGGTTTCCTAAAGCAGATCTGATGTTGGCAGTGTGTGGCTTAAAGCCTTCCAGCATTTCMTGGGGTTTTGTTTGTTTGTTTTAAAGAAAAAAGTTCAAATCTTTTTCTATGGTCCTTTCCACCCCTGTATCAGGCTCCGGCCTATTCAATCTCACATCACATTCACTTGGATTCCTTTTCTCACCAGGCCCTTGCTCCAGGGCTTTCTTTCATTTTCTGGAACTCTCTGAGCATCTTCCAACTGAGGCACTCTTTATTCTGACTGGTTTCTCTCATATGGACTCTGATCTCAGCATGAGGAACCACCACCCCTGGTCTTGATCCGATAAGTCTGTGCTCCCCAGATTCTTGTTAGTTCCCATCTCAAGGGCCTCTTACAGCTCCAACCCAAGCTTTTAGGATTGAATTGCAATAATTAAAGTGAATTTCATTACTATAAAAGGATACTTCATTATTCCTCCAGAGACTATTGGGGGCCTATTTATTATGTGCCTGGTTAAGCTCTGGACTTGGCCTACCTACTGGATTCTACATGCTAAATATTACATACATTGTCCTTTGGTGTACATTCTACACATTATGTAGGATATAATGAATACTAAACCTTTATGTTGTGTTATTTATACTTTGCTGTGTTAAGTAGAATATGCTATAATCTACATACAATAAGTAATATATATGATTAATTATATGGCTAATTATATGTACTACAACAATGTTTCACCATAAGAATTTAGCAAACATACATTGAATAAGTGAATATGATATTTAACACCGTATTCTATTCTAGGACAGACTGGTCATTGAGGATTTATTCTTCTAAACTCTTCACCTTTCCCATCCCTCTAGGATGGTTTCCTTCTTTTACCTCCTGTTCTAGTTTCTTTGTATAGATAAATTCAGAAGCTTATCCAAGTCTGAGCTCTAGGTCTGAACCCATATGGACTTTAGAGTGTACCAGAGAAAGAAAGGCTGAATATTGGGTGGTGGAATTGTGGAACTAGTCAAGGCCACTCCTGGGCTGGGAGGGAACCCTGCCATGACACCCAGGGAGGGGTCCTGGATGGTCCTGGTGATCTTTTTTTTTTCCCCTTGAGAACAAACTTCAGAGAATCATGAAGTTGCAGAACTGGAAGGGGTGTTATGGACAGGGTGTGGCCCAATTCTCTGAAATCATAGGTCCCATTCCCCAAACCAGCCAAGATAGGGCACTCACTCTTCTCCTGAATTCTTGGTGGCAACACTGTCTCCCCAGTTTCCTTGTGTCCAGCTCCACTGCTTTTAGAACAAGTGGCCAGAAAGCTTGTGAGCCCCTTTCTAGAAAAGAAGAGAGGGAGCAAGGGAGGGAGGAAGGAAGGACAAGTACGTGGGTGGGTGGATTATGCGAGAACGGATGGATAGTCTCCTGGGAACCATAATCCAGGCAGGCGGGGGTTGCGTCCCTCCCGGGACCCTCCTCTCGCTGCTGGCTGCTGCGGGTGGCTCGCACACCCAGGCCTGCTCCCGAGCACCAAGGAAGTGGGTAGAGAGAAGGGATTTGGGACCGGGTGGGGGGAGAACTGGGAGGGAAGAGGTAAGGGGAGGTGGGGAGGGGGAGGGCCTCAAAGCAGAGAGGAGGCGCAGCAGGCGCTGCAGGAGCTCCGCGCGGGCTCCGAAGAGATGTCGCTGCCGCCACCTTCCCTCGGGCCGGGGCTGTGCCGCCCGGGCTGAGCCACAGCGCCAGCAGCTAGCCGAGTGGCCGCCGGACAAGATCACAGCGCGGGAGGATGGGCTGCGGCGGGAGCAGGGCTGATGCCATCGAGCCCCGTTACTACGAGAGCTGGACCCGGGAGACAGAGTCCACCTGGCTCACTTACACCGACTCGGACGCGCAGCCCAGTGCCGCGGGCCCTGACACTGGCCCCGAGGCCGGCGGCCTGCACGCGGGTGAGTGAGCCTGCAGACCCCCGCSTGGCCGCGGCCCTGGCCATCCAGAGAGAAGCCGGAGGGGTGCAGGCAGCAGGGGAAGCAAAGGACCCTTATGAACCGATGGGGGATGGAGAGGGGGACAGTGACAGGACCTGCCCACTCAAGCTGGGGTGTGGGATCGGGGTCAACAGGAGCCGCTTACATAGGGCTGAGCTAATCCCCCGAGCTTCCCACCAACCCAAMGCTTCTTTGCCTTGGCCAGTGCATGCGCCGACCGACCGGGGAGGGATGGGTGGGAGGATTCACCCATCTGGTCCATACACCCACCTCACAGCCCACACCACGTCTCCCACCCGACCCGGTTTGCCTTTGCCTAGCTCTGGTCCAGCTTCCTCTCTGGCCACCTGCCTACCCAGTGGTTTCATCCACTGGCCACCTGGCCCCTCTCCTTTGGTTTATAGACAAGACACCGGAGTAGGATCGCCTGGGTGGAGTCTTCTTGTTGCTTCCCTAATCCTTCCTGTTGAGCTGCCAAAATCAGGGCCAAATAAATGCATGCCTACCCTATTACTTTAACTTACTTTTCAGGCAGTTATTTAACAGTGCAGAACTTCCTTCCCTACCCCCTGTCGTCTGAATATAAGACAGGGCATAAATTTTTTTTTTACTACAAATTGAATACTCTTACCTAGGTCATTCTCCAGCCACCAGAAATCTGATAGAAGGATTTGCAAAGAACTTTCTAGTCCAGTCACAACAAAGGATTTTTTTTTTCAAGCAAACTCTAATAACTACAGAGATGGAAACTGTTGCTATGTATTAAACTTTGATCATAAATGTGTTGGTGACACTAAAAAGAAAAAAAAATCACTGCTTATTACATGGATGATGTCAAAAGCCAGATTGATATTTGGATTTAAAAAGTTTTGTTTTCTGACTGCTTTATATAGGCATTTTTGAATGATGAAATTTAAAATTTAAAAATAGGGTTAATTTGAAGCATAATGTGTATTTTATGGAGGAAGAAAAAAATGTAAACTACTTTTGAGACTAATAACGCTAAATCAATGCCTCTTAAATTAAGAGCTGCCATGTTAGCCGTGAGGATAGGACTCTCCATCTTTTAGGACCAATGCTGGTTTTGTTTGTTTAAACAATATGGGGTTGGCTGTGTTGCCCAGGCTGGCCTTGGATCCTGGGCTGAAATGAATCTCTTGCCYCAGCTTATTTAGTAGTTGGGACTACGGGCATGTGCCTGGCCTGGCTCCTTTTTCCACATAAGAAAATTCACACCTCACCCCACCCCCACTTTTTTTTTTTTTTTTTTTAACTGAGAACAGTCTGTGAAAGCTGTCAGAACACTGGATTTCTCTCTAAATTTCCTGACTCAGAGAAGCAATCATAATGATTATTTTGTGTGGCCAATGCTTTCATCAAGTTTCCAGGTGGTGTGTCGGTCACATTCAGTGTCAAGATGAAGATAAGACATGAGCCTCTAAAGGGACTTGTACACTTTGGATGTAAAAGTATTTCCCAAGGAAGTAGTGGTACTTCTCTGCAGAGTTCAAGGCCAGGGCTGCACAGCAAGGAAATAAGATTGAAAAAATCTGGCATGAAAAAGAACAGAGTACAGCTTCAGAGAATGGTTGCCTTGGTGACTGGCCCTGTATGGTGTGAGAAAGAGAGGGGGGCGAGAGGGAGGGAGGGAGGGAGAGAATGGATGTGAGAGTTGTTATGGACTGGATAAATATGTACATATATGCTCCTCAAGTCTTTCCTAACATTTATTCACTTATTTCTCTGCCATCCTAACTCAGATCCCATCCATCAGGAGATCTGATCCTTGCAACAGGTGGGGACTGGGACAGGCACGCTGTTCATGGAACTTTGCCAAACATGGGACAGTCTTGCCAGGCAGACGGTCCCGAAGATCTGCATCATACCTAGGATGGATTCAGCTGCCGCTCCAGGATAGTACTCTAAAATTGGCCAGACTCTTAGATGGGCAGCAGCATTTCAATTCCCTAGAAATTCCCATCAGCTTTGGAGCAGAGGAACATTTCTGAAGACAGAGGTTGAGCCAAGGCTTCCCTTGGAGTGCACTGGTATTCTTGGGGGTCTCTGGAAGAGTGGCTTGATTCCTGTAGCTTTTCAGCCTGGAAACTGGTCATCTTCAGTCAGTGGGACATCTGAGAAAACTACAAATCTCCTGGGTTTCTGCCACCCTGGGAAATTAGCTTGGATTCTTTTTTTTCCCCCCTTTCTGCTTCACCTAGTCCCACCAGTGCTTTAACCATGAATTTAATCCCATTAGGGGACACCTAATGGACCTTGGTGACTAGGTGGTCATAGGAAGCTAGAAGATCAGTTTTTCCTATTCCTAGCAGTCCATTTCTGTTGGAGGGGGAACAAATGGAAGTACTGGATTCAGGAGAGTCCATATTGAAAAAAAATATATCAACCCAGTCCAGTACAATGGTTTTGCTGTGGATTTTAGAGCTAGGGAAGGTCTCTGGAAGTCATCTACCCAAGCAAATGGACTCTTGGTGAACTGTCCCAGTCTGCACACTACCTCAACCACTTCAAAGCTCTTACTTAACTTCTGGTACCCTTAGTCCTCAAGAACCCTTTCTTTCTGGGCCCCAGTCACTCTCCTTTATTGTCAAATTGAAATCACCTTTCTTCTGGCTACCTTAACCTCAGGACCATAGAAGGTAGGGAATGGACCTAACTCTTCTTTGTGTCTTCTGTGCTTAGCAAATGTGTGACACAGGCTGGTGTCTCATGAAGATTTTCTGAATGAGCAGGTGCTCTGTCCAAACCTGCCCTTAATTCCCATGAGCTCTTCCTAGATGCCCCCTCTTTAGCTCTTCCCTATATGCTTGCTGTTCAACTTCCCCACTTAAATCTGTTTAACCTCAGTCCCTCCAAGTACCTTTCTGATCCCATAGCTCCTGTTAAAACAGAAAAGCCTCTGCCCAACTTTATCACACTCTGCTGAAACATCTGGCCCAGCCCCGAAACTCCATAGGTTTCCACACCAACTCCATAGCCATGTCTACTGAAAAACTCCAATAGGCATATCTGCTTTGAAATTCCACTTTAATTTTTCATACTTTATCCAGATTGAGGGTGTGTCATATGACAGTGTTCAGCAAAAACTTGTTGAATTAATTCTGTACTTCACTGTGGGGCGGGGAGCATGTTTTCACTTCTATGAAGGAAGGAGTGTCTTGTCTCTCCTCCTCACTCAAAAAGTGATCCTAAGCCCCTGGTCCCTGTTCTTGGAGATYATCTCCACTAGCTAGCAGAACTGAATTAAATTTTTAGATTTGACTATTATGTAGGCTAGAATTTAAAACTTAGCTGAAGCCAGTGTCTGATATCCATTATGTCTCTATTACCAAGATCAGGCTCTCCTTCAAAGAAGGAAATTAAATGGGTCTGACATGACTTAATCCTCATAAAATCAGTTTGCTGGACTGAGTTTTACTTCTGTTGTCAGATGGTAATCTCCAAGGAGAAGGGGAGTCTGAGGTTGCTGTGACCCAGCCTTGCTCAGCCATTCCATACATTAGTAACTTCCTAGCTTTGTCTCACTTTAATTGCAAGTCCCTTTTTAAAATTTTCACATATTCCCCTTAGGCTTTTCTCTAATATCTCCAGAGAATACAACATTTCAAATTAGTATCGTATGAAAATTCCCTTAGTTTAAGGAAGTTTGAAGAATTAGAGACAGCAAAATGATTTACCTAAATAAAAGTCAAATAATATGACAAGCATTTAATAATTACTATTAACTAACATTTATTGACAACTGATCAGGGGCCAGGCAGTGTACTTGGCAGTTTATGTCAATCATATCATTTAATGTTTACACCCAGGATAAGATAGGAACTGTTACCACCTTCCTTTTTACAAAAGGGATTGAGGTTTAGAGTTGAGTAACTTTTCCAGCTCAGGACTGGGATCCAACTCTGATTCCAAAGCCCACACTCCTAACTACTGCCTTTATTGTTCATAGAGATTTTTTATAAAATTCTCTGTTGGCAGTTGATGGTACTCAAAAGTTTAGTACATCCTCTAGATGGTCCAGTCTCTCTGACCACACAATTTTCTCTGCATTGTCCCCGAGATATCCCATCGATATCTCTTCCCTAGGGCAGGGGGTCTCCCCATGCCATTGCAGAGCATCTTCCCTGTGATTTCCACCTGGTGAAATCTGAACTTATATGATTAAGTCTTGAATAATTAGCTCCTTTCAATCCTTGAAGATGCTTTCCACCTCCTCTAACCTCCTYCAGGCCAGACACATGCAGTTCCTTAATCATTTCTCATGTCTCTTGTGGGCCTGACCCTATTCCTATACACATACCACTAGGTTTGTCAAAGTCTTTCCAGATACAAGGGACCTAGGGTAACTCCAAACTCCTGCTGTCAGCTCAACAGCAGAGGGCACTTGGAACATTCTAAAGTGGCCACAGAAGTAAACTCTCTCCTCCTGCAGGTAAAATCAGGTTAGGATTGTTTTTCTGTTCTTGTTGTTGCCATATTACCTTGATGACTCACACTGAGCTTGGGTTTTTTTTAAAACCCTTAGATTTTTTTTTTTTCTAATTCAATTGGAGTTCTGTGACATTAGGGACATTGTATTTTCCCTGCTATATTCCCAGCACCTGGGACAGTGACTGGAATGTAAGTGGCACTCAATATTGAATTAGTTTTTTTTTCYCCCTGTGAATCTTACATCAGAACTATTGGTTTCAGTAACCACCAGTTGGGATTTTTGCATTTTTTCCTGTTAAAATTCAACTTGTTAGTTTCCCTTCAGTGTTTAAAATTGCTGATGTTGATTCATGTTATAGTGCTATAAAGAGAATATTCCAGGTTTATTTTTTTTCCCCTGTGTTGACAGACTAAAGATGAAATACATTTGCTCTTCTGTTCCTTCAATAGACATTTGGCACAAAGTCAAGAAACATATCTTACCTAAGAGGTTAATAATGCAGGAGACAGACACAA